AGTCAAGAAACATAACAAGTGCTTTTCACCGAAACCATGGGGGAAAATAAACCTTTTAGTTTAGACAAGACATAATAGTGATAATGCAATAAAGGTGGCGCATGCAAAAGAGTGTTTCAGGGAAAAGGTGGTTTGCAGGAGATAAGATGTTTTGCAGTGAAATGGTAAAAGATGATAAAAATCAGCAAAACTACAAATTTGTAAAGAATAATATAAATCAACTTTATTTGTAAGGTATAAATGTAACACAACATGCTTCACATAATTTAAACAGCAGTTTGAGACTAGACTTACATGTGTCTTTGTCAATAAACAAAACTTTATCGTCCACTATGTTCATTTTAACATATTTAAAGTATCAGTACAAACTCTTTTACCAATGCATTAAGATGAAGGAGCCCGACAGGAGTTATCAGCTTAATTCTAATTTGTGAGTGACTGCATTTACAATCTTCAACCTTTTACTCCTGAATCACTTTTGTTAGTCAAGTCACAGAGTTGCAATTTAAGATAGACACTGAGCACAGAACCACTCAGAAGATAAAACCATATCTAAAAGACCATCAACAGAAAAAAAAAACAGAAGACAGTAAAGTTGCAGTTTGTAGACAATCTAGCCTCCAGCTGCAGCAGCCGCAGAAGAGAAGCTTGTTGTTTTTGTCGTCTTGTGTCAGAGCATGGATTGCAATAATTACAGATGGATTCAGTGTCTTAAAATAGCAGGATCACAAGAGGGAATCTACGTGGAGAGGCAGATTTTGTGTAACCAGGGCCGCAGATCCTCTCTTCTCATCTAACGATTTCATGGCCTCTCTCGTCAAATCACTGAGCTCTGCCGTTGTCCACCGTGTGCCCATTCTCACAGGGTCCTCGTGGAAACAGCAGCTTAAAGGAGCCGCACTCCACCGCGCACAGGGCAGATAATATTAGAGGATTAAGGTCCTGGAATAGTTGTTTTCCTCAGGGAACAGCGAGCAACCTCATGACCTGCGAGAGCAGCTAATTAAAGACATGAGGCCTTGGTTTGAGACGCTGCTTAATGATTAGATCTTTGTTTGAGAGAAACATTTAAAAAGACAGTTTTCATGAAGACAAATCATGCAGAGCAGATTCTTCTTACTTTTTTGAAGGTTTCCTGAAAATGAACACTCATTTCAGGCGGTCGCACATCAAGCTGCTGGTTTCTATGGAGAGAGAGACAGAGTCCACCTACACAAGCAGCAGTGGAGGCGACATTAATGTGTTCATGCTGACAACTTCCAGTGTTTCAGACATGGCTGCTGCTGACAGTCACCTTCCCCTGGTGTCTGTCAACATGTGGTGTGACAGCAGGCGTCAGCGTGTGAGGAGTTTTCACTCAGTGTGTGTGTATGTGTGTGTGTGTGTGTGTGTGTGTGTGTGTGTGTGTGTGTGTGTGTGTGTGTGTGTGGTGTGTGTGTGTGTGTTTACATACAGCAACAAGTCAGAGACTCAACATCAACCCACCAAACTCGTCCAATGTTACGTAACTTGGCCAATTTTGAAAAGTTTGAGAATAAACAGGCGCCACCTGGTGGAGGAGAAACCAAACCATTACTAGCCACCTATTTAGTCTGGCTTTCCTGTGGTGTTTCATAGTTTTATTATCTATGTGTGTTTTTATCGATGTTTTTCAGTTTTGAATACAGAGATTTCATATGAAAGGTACTTTCATACTTACTGCATCAATTTATGAACAATGTATGACTTCATTTTCGGACTTCTTCATGAATTCACTTATAATGTGACATCATATGATGGGCAATCCTTTTCTGATCAATATAAGCTTTGGATTGTCCCTCTATTGTTTGTGGAGATGTCTTAAGACATTTCTGACCATATTTTTCTGGACCTTGACCTTTGACCAATCAGCTACAAAAGTTAATCATAAGGAGATAAATTCTTATATTCACACCAAGTTTAGGGGGAAATTCAGATTAAAATCTAAATATATATATATGTATATCCACACAACTGACTTTGAGGGTGTGATGACCTGACAACAACTAACTTGACCTCTGGAAAATTCAGAGAATTTGTGTCAGTTTGTTTTTCACATATGAAGAACGCAGCAGGAGTATTGTCCGGGTCAGACACGTTTACAACAACAGGAGTATTTCCGGAGCGTTCAGGTGAGGTGTGGAGCAGGAGGCAGGACATGACGTAATCACTCCACCGTGGAAAGCTCAGTGTGTTTGTCTAAAGCTCATCGACAATTTCAAAAGCTCTCGATTCTCGTCGTCTTGACATCTCCGTCTGCCTCTTCAACCTGGGGCTCCACTTTTCAATCCTGAGATATTTGTGTTCTCGCAGTCTCATGTCCGTCGTGTTTTAAAAACATCAACACGCCGTCTCATTTGTTGTGAATTTGGAGTGTGAAATTTTAGAGTTCAGGAAAATGTCCGGAGCAACCGTTTCTGATCTTGTGTTTTCATGTACAGCACCTCGTGAAAATGATGGGACTTCATTCTATGTCTGAAAGCAACTGGAATCACTAGTACCACTGATATTTGTTGCAAATGATGAAATGATGCACACTGGTACAAATACTCACACTCACACTTTTCTCAAGAAATCGTTTTCTTTTTTCTGATCACACGAATGACGGACAAAGCACATCTGGCCACAGCTGCTCCGTCTCTGCACCTGGGGATGTGAAGAGCCAGCTGTGCACTTTGTTGATGAGCTTCCAGCCTGTTCATCCATCAGCCGGAAAGGTTATTGCTGGGAGTGTGTGCGATCAACTGCGTCTCTAGTCAAACTCTTAGTACTGACACCAACTCTGAGTATCGATTGATTTTTTAATTTATTTTGAGATTTTGAGGGTTGATTGTTTGAGAACAGGATATTAAATTGTTACATCTTCTTTTTCTTTCATGAAATCAAATAGATGTCACTAGCAGAGGTCAATTTTTAAAAGATTTAAGGAAGATTTATTCTATAAAATGTTATAAAAGATGCTTAAAACAGCATTTATGCTGTTCTATAACTCTTCTTTATTAATATTGTCTTTGGAGATATACATCTTCACTCTTGTTCACATCACATACACACATCTTTTGCTTTTGTATTGATACCAGTGTTGTTTTTATTAGGCTTTACACGGAACAATCTAAAATTTTTAAAATCCTCCAACAAAGTGAACATACGTGCACCTCAGCACATCTGTTTGCAGCTGTGTGGTGTAAATGTTGGAGTGATCTCTGTGAGAGGCCAAAGGGAGGAAACACCTTCCACCTTCCACCCACTAACTTTATTTAGCTCCTCCAGGACAAAAGCAGGAATGCAGGAACTCTGCAGGGTGCAAACTGGGAAATTGTTTTACCGTCCCCGGGTGTGTTCTTCCCCCCCCCCACACACCACACCATCAGAGCCTCTAAGGCCTCCAGCAGCTGGAGGAGACAGGGGGAAATTCAGGGGAATCAATTTTGTCTCATTTTCAATATTCTAGTTTAAGAGTAAAAGTTAAGAGACATAATAACTAAGTGTCTTAAAAGCTTTTTCTTGATTCAAAAACTATTTGTTGTTTGTATATTGTTAATTTCACTTTCTGACAGTGTTGTATCTGTCTTTTATTTCCCTGTGAAGCACTTTGTAACTTCTGTTCATAATGTTTGCTTTATTACATTCTTAAATAGAAGATCAGATCTTTATTATGCAATATTTTACTAAAAGATTTTTGACAGAGAACTTGCGGTTGCTTCAGTTGTCATTAAAACAACTCAAAAGGTTTGTCCTGTCTGGGCTACTGTTAAAAACATGGCAGCCTCCATAGAGGGGACCCGCTCCAGGTAAACTTAAAGGGCTCATTCTAGAATAAATAAAACAATTCATAGGATTGAGATGATCTCACACACACATCACTGGGATTATTCTGTATTAAATTACTGCAACTAGATCCCCTACACATAAATCTTACACTGGAGACTGCATATCCACTTTTTTAGTTTTTATCATTTCCTTTTATATCATCCTCTGGCTTCTTGAAAGGTTTATTCATCACAAGTAGCAGGAGAGCTGTTGTAAACATAGTATATCAGTGAGTTTTTCTAAAAGGAAACTGGAGACGCATGTTAAGACACTGGGAAAATGAAAAAACACAGGACGGCGACATTTGTGTGAAAAATGATGGATGAAATATTTAACTGTTCGCTCTTCTATTACTCTTTCTTGATGCAGCCATCTTGTGTTAAAGTAAACCTGCTGCTTCTTTCCCACCTGAGCTTCAAAACAGTCCTTTACTGCTCCCTGGTGGAAAAATTAGGAACTACAACCTCCAGCGATGGTGCTCATATTGAAGCAACAGATGCAGAAATGGGCTTTAAATTAATTTATTTAAAAAAAAAAAAAAAGCATTTCTCCACTGAAGCAGAACAAACATCAATTTTTTTTCCATTTTACCTTTGTTTGGAACGTGTACAATCAGAAAACAGACTCCCCGGGTCGCCAGAGCAGAGTGAAATAATCGAGCAAATGAAGGGGACTGGAGGAGTTGGGGTCGGGTCTGCCAACACCACAATGTCAACACAGCCGGGAGCAGGTGAGGAGGGTTAGGAGGGTGAGGAGGAGGAGAGGGAGGGTGGTGGGGGGGAAACAAAAAAAAAAAAGAAAGAAGAAAAGTAAGAAAGGAAATTAAAACACAAACATTTCAAGTGCAGGTCTGGTTTGGACAAAGCAGGTCCTTTTTTTTTTCCTCTGTTCAACTTCTCCGTCGGATACATGCAAGGTCAACATCTGGAACTACACATGGAGATTTCATATGCTTATATCGGTTATCTGTGCAAGTATTAAAATATGTAGGTATTATATGGATATGTCAGAACGAGGGGGAAAGAAACAAATATTACGCAAACTATTACACCGTTTCACTGAACAGAAAAAAAATGAAGTCCACATAATAATAATGAAAAATAAAAGAAGTGAGATTTCTAACTTGGTTACCGAAATGTCACCGACCTCACCATTTTTTAATCTTCCTTTAATTAAATTATTACGTATCTAGAGAGGTGAAAATACATTTAAAAAAAATCCTATGCTCCACATTTTGAACAACAAAATACTGCATATCTACGTACAGCTGCGATAAAGGAAGGTCAGTATTGTGAGAGGCTAGCTGCCAGAGTTTCAGGAATATTGGCTCCGAGTTGATCCCTTCCTAAATGCGTTGACCGTTATTTATTAACCATTGGATGCTCGACGTTCTCGGTTGGTCACGAACTGGGGATGTGTTGTCTCTGCTGGAGTCTCCTATCTGCTCTGAGGTAGATGTGACAGACAGGCGGCGTCCAGCCCGAGCTCAGTCAAAGGTCAGCTCTGAAGGGTAAATTGTTGTTAAGGCTTCCTGTGGTCTTGGTTTCATCACTCTCCTGTTTCAGTGGCTCACAGGGGGCACCTTTGAGTTCTTTGTCCCGTTTCTGTACTTTATTCTCAACCCACATTCCAGTCTGTAAGGGGTGGACATATCTATATTCTTTTTGATGCTCCAGAACAGAACTCAAACTGAAAATGAAAAGAATCTTCTCCATTTGGCACCTCTGGAGTCAGTGGTAGAAGCAGGAGAAACAAAACAAAAACGACGGGGGAGGGGAGACGAGAAAGGGAGAAACTATAGAAGGAGGAGGAGACAGTGGTGGTGGTGGTGGTGGGGGTTGTGTGGTGCGTGTGGTGGTGCAGACTAGTTGGGATGGCTTCCTTGGTTGTTAGCTGCCGACGAGTCTGAGTCTGCTGCGACGGCCGAGGCCGCCGCCTCCTCCTCCACTTTGACACGCTTGGCGTCCGGCTGTTCGCTGGCCAGCTGATCCCCGTTCTGGCGTTTGGTGGGGAGGGAGGCCGAGGCGGATGCGTGGTCCGCCAGCAGGTGGAGGGGGCTCGCCAAAGCCGGAGCTGAACAGGAAAAAGTGGAAGAGAGAGACGGAATAGTTCAGTGTCGCCGCTGGAACTGTGGTTAACCAACATCTGGAAGCAGCAGGCCTGTGGGACGTGTGGTTTGGCTCTGCTGCTGCCAGTTCAGGATAATAAAGACGTTTCTTTAGCGGAGGCAGAAAGAGTTTACTGTTGAACATAAACACAACTCTTACATCTGGTGGTGAACTTGAGTTTGTGCGGTTAGTTAACACCAAAATGATCAAATGTATTAGTGACCACATGAACCAGAGCAGGGACCATTTTCAATCGTTTGCTGCAGTAACAGGCACCCGCATCATTCTGGTCGAGATATTTTGGTCGGGTGTACCAGAGGTGTGTATGACGTGTGTAAGTGATGAGTACATCTTAACCACCATCTTGTCTCTGTGGCATGTGTTTGATCCGCAAACAAACGTTCTGCAGAGGAGCAGCTCAACCTGTAGGCTGCCATCTTTCTGAAGTGGACAAATGTCTTTATGTAAAGATGGAATAAAAACCAGGGAGATAAGAACCTGGAGCTTTTCTTATTGTGTTTGGCCCTTTGAACTGATTCTAATCACAACATTAGGCTTCATATAAACATGAACATTTCCTTCACTTTAAGATAAAATCCTCAAACAAATCTGATTCCAGCTTCTCAAATGTGAAAACTGACAATTATACATTTAATGTCTTTGCATTTTAGACAGAACGAATCTCCAGACATAACCTTTGTGAGAGTTACCAAGCACGGCGATTAACTGATTATTTAAGGAAATAATAATAATAATAAATCCTTATTATTGTTATTCATGGATGTATTCAAATTGTATCATGAAATAAACTTGTTATGATTAGAAGTTGTACTTTAAAATGCAGTTAGACGTTTAGTAAACATAATACTTCTTAATGTAATGCATACTTGTAAGATGTTGATATTTAAATGCAGTATAATATATATAATAACAGCCACACTGCCTATCCTGCCCACACTGTATCCTTCCACTCTGTTCCTCTATTGCTCCGTCTCACTTCAAATTCGATCCAAAAAATATTAAAGCAATCTGAACTTCACTTTCTCTGTGAGCTTCTATAGGAGGCACATTTGAAAACAACAGCAACAGACCCAAGTGTTTCATGCGGCCCGTGTCTCACCTGAGCTGGTGGGTCCCTGGATGGCAGTGGTGATGCTGTGGGTGCCGTTTTGTGTGATGGCCTTAATGGGCAGCTGGTGATGACCCATGGGGGCCTGCTGCACTATGGTAACAGTCTGCAGGGCTGTGGCTGACTGGGAGCTCTGGATGATGCGACTGGAGCCGCCTATAGAGGTGATGGTTGGAACAGTCTCCACTTTGACTGAGAAGACAAAAAACATTTGAATGGTTCAGTGATCAATTACAGAAGTGACGATCGAAGCTGGACTTAACTATCTGGTTAACAACAGGGAGTCTGACCTTGATCCCCACTGTACAAAGTTTCGACACACAGCAGTGTTTGCTCTGTCAGCACTTTCAGGCTTTAACCACCACGAGAGCTCATTATTCTCAAGCCACGACTCATTAAACTTGCATTTCCAAATGTTCATAAACCAGTTGGATTGAAAGGCATTAGCTTAACACATGACATAACACACACGTGCATTAGATGTCATGTGTAGAGAATAATGTGCATATAGTAGCATATTGTGAGGTGGCCAATGTCACAATTTGAGAATTGTTTTTGTCAAATTAAGAAAATGTATGTTAGTTATTTCTTCACGACATCAAAAGACACCAAATTCAAGATAAGTAGCGATGCAGTAAGTAACAAAATGCTTTTCCGTGACTCACCTTTGACCTCTGTGTGCTCTCCGTTCTCCTGCGTCTCACTCTTGATGATGGTGGCTGGCTGGGTGATGACGGCGGCAGAGTTCAGGGCCCCTGCCGGGATCTGCTGTAGGACGTGGACAGTCTGGACCGCAGGCTGGGAGGTGCTGGTGCTCACTGGGGAGGCCATGGTGTAGGTCACTGGCTTGATGGTTTGAGGTAACTGGCGCTGGACTGCTATGAGTACCGGCTGGTTGTTGACAGGCGAGCCTGGAACAGGAGAGCACGGTGTGAGATGAACCCTTCGTTTTGTTTCAGTGTGTCAGATACAAAGGCTGTTTGAGCTCTGCAGTTGTTCCTCCAGAGTCTGCATTGGCATTTTTACTGTGATTTCCTGAAGAATTTCCAAATGCTTCATAACAATTAAAATCTTTTTTTTTTTATCAAATTGTACTAACTTAACACATAGCATAACATATTGCTCTGACTTTTAAATACACCAACATGAACTTAATATTTCTTAAAGGTACAGTTTGTACAATTTAGTGATATCTAGTGTTGAAGTTGCATGTTGCAGCTGAACACCTCACCTCACCCTCTCCTTCCAAACATGAAAAAGAACCTCTGGTAGCTTCAGTTGTCATAAAACTCAAAAGGTGTTTAGCTTGTCCAGTCTGGACTAATGTAAAAAACATGGCGGCCTCCATAGAGAGGACCCCCTTGATGTAAATATAAAGTATTTAAATATAAAGGGCCTTTTCTGGGGTAAAGAAAACTACAATTCATACAATTTAGATGAAAAAAACTAGTGAAAACATCATGAGGATTATTCTACATTAAATTTCTGCCAATAGTTCCCTTTCACCTAAATCTTACACACTGGACCTTTAACAATCCACAAGTTACTTGAACTATGTGAAAAATGTGTTAGAGATATAAACACATTTCGTCATAATGGGCGTATGATGTGATGATGTGGAAGACTTTGGCTTTCTGGGACAAAAAGAAGGAAATTTTTATGTTATTTTAGATCATCATAACAGTCAGTGGGATATTTGACTCGGCAGACACCTAAAAACAACAACCCAAGGTATTTGATCAGAACAAAAACTAAAACTTGGTCAGGACGTCACCAGTAATAATTAATAAATACAAATATATCTACAGAGGCGTCTGTATTTATATTCGTTCAAGTAATTGTCATGTTTGACATTTTCAATGTTAGTTCTTCTTGAGTAAAACTGTTAAGACTGGGAACAGTTTTTACTAGATGCAATAAAACAGCCAAACAAGTAATGTGAGGGGCAATAAAATTTAACAACTGTTTTTATAGTTACAGAGAATGTACTGATGAAATGTAAATACTTTCAATTTCATTTTTCCGAACAGATTCATTGTTGCATAAAACCAACATTTGGAAGAAGCCATGACAACCAGTCAAATATTCATCCTCTGAGAGAGATACCAAAGACAATGGGAGGGACTGTAAGACATAAGTTGTTGAGGTAGAGATGGGACATCAGCCAGGGTCACCTTCCACAGAAGCTCCAGCAGCTCCAGTGAAAACTTAACTTAACTTTTCTCTCTGACACAGCTGTGTCGGAGAGAAAACGACAATCATCGTCAGCCATATTACAAAGTTATTGAATCTACCTGTTGTGTTTTGTGCAAAGCGTGCTTCCTGGATGACTGCCAGTTTGGGCTGGACTGCAGCGGTGGACACCGGAGTGGGAGCAGAGGTCTCCAACTCCAGCGGAACCGGGGAGCCCTCTCGTGAAAGGCTGTCGGGGGTTTGGACTCCACTGGAGTGAGCGGAAAGCACCCCCGAGTGATTGGGAGACGCTGGTGCACTCCTGAGACAAGAAAGATGCCAAATTAAATTTACGTCAGAAAAAGCTTGACGTATCAGACAAATACACATGAATTGAAATATGTTCTTATAAAATATAATAATCTCTGCAGCCAATTCTGATAAAACAATCAGGGAGCATCTGCATTTAAGCTTGTCAAGATGAAACCTTATTTATCAGTATATACAATGAGGAAACGATGTGTATTAATGTTTATATTTTAAGTAATTTTTCTTGTAAAATATCTTTACAATTTTTCGTCATTTAAGTTTGGTAACGACATCTTAGAAATCACATGTATTGGCTGAATTATCAGTATCAGAAATTTGTAATGGCCCCTAAATCTCCATATCAATCACAGATAATACAATGTAAGCATGTTGTGTTAATGACTCATGTGTAGCTACATGTAAACTGGCAGTACATAAACTGCTTTTACTCTGAGGTTTCATTCTACATTCCAGATATTCCATTTTTGAATAATAGCCAAAGTGTGCAGTGGTGTGATGAAGCCAGACCTGGAGGAGAGGGGTCCGTGTGGGGTCCTGAAGCAGGGGACACCCCGGGGCCTTCGTTTCCTGAAGGCCTGCTCTATCAGCTTGCCCTCTGAGGACGGGTCTATCCTCCAGAACGAGCCTTTGCCAGGTTCCTCCTGCGACCGCGCCACTTTGATGAAATAACGGTTCAAGGAAAGATTGTGACGAATCGAGTTCTGCGACGGAGAAGAGGTGCAAGCGGTGAGTACGTTACACTCAAAATAGATAAAGTTCGTGACTCTTACTCTGAGGTTTGAGCACAGAGGTTCTTCTGTGTTAATTCATGAAATCATCGTGCCGACAAAGTGCTGCTTCATTGGACGAACGTGAGGCTGAAACTCACCTGCCAGCCCTTGTCTGCAGTCCTGTAGTAAGGATAGTTCTTTGTGATGTGATTGTAGATTCCGTTTAGTGTGAGCTGCTTGTCCTGAGCCAGTGTAATGGCCTGGACTATCAGCTGTGCATAGGAGTACGGAGGTTTGGAGTCATCCTGTGGAGCAGAGGAGAATTACACATTTCTTCAGTTACGCTGCCACAAGTTTCTATGGGAATCAAAATGTCAAGATGACCAACGATAAAAGATTCAAAAATGCCAAAGGAAAGAAAATAATGGCTGCAACAAAAGGTGAGAGATTCCTCCTGATCAATCTTTTGTTAGTTTCATCCCAACATAAGGGATAAGAATCAATTATAAGATAAGAATCAATTATTTTTATATATTGTTATATTATTTAGCACTGAATGAGACATTTTTACACACTTGAAAAATGAACTTGTGGATGATGAGGAACTATTTCAAACATAGTATTGGCATTTCTGATTTATTTTTATATTCTGGCAAACAAATAATGCAGATATCAATATATCTGCAGATTCTGCACTCACGCAACCTTTGAAATAAGTAGGTCAGACATATAAAATAAATAAAAACTGCTTTTGGTAAAACAAGTTCCAGCAAGTTTGTTGACTTGATTAATTTATGTCCGACAAATGTCACCTGACCAAAATGGAACACAGGCTGTTTATGTTTATGGTGAGTAGTAGTGTTTTAATAAAGTATTAGAGCTGGGCCATGAAGCAAACATTTTATAACCTCTAACTGACTTAATCTTGCTCATGTCGGTTAATACTTTCCCCTATGCACACATTTACGAACCCTCATGTGTCCTCTACGTTCATTTTGCAGCAGCTGGCTCCTGCTGACCAGAGCTCACTTTACACATTTACAATATACAACTAATCAGAAGTTAGGACACGTGCAGTATTTGAAGTTTACTTTGTGTTTGTGTAATTCGCTCGAGTTTGAGAGACAAGGATTTAAACACATAGCAGCAGCGTGATGCACACAGCCAGGACATCAGGGTTTAAGTCCCCGGAACGATCGGGATTCACGACTTCATCGATTTATAACCAAATAAATGTGTGAATAGTGACATAGACGAGCAGACAGACAGAAACACACACACAAGACGTTCTTCCCGTAGATTATGACGTTGTGTTTTAACTTCATTATCGCAGAAGAAGCGCTGCCCTGTTTACCCAGGAACATAATATGAATTCATCAGATTTTTTAAAGATCAGTTCTAAGTGTGATGATTAAAAACATCAGAGGAGCAGAATCATTTGTTGACCTGCGGAGTTATGCGCCTCAGTGCAGTGCCGCTGCCAGGGGGGGCAGGGCGGTGCCACGTTGATACAGTAAAGGCTATAATCAGAGTTTGTCCCTTCAAGCTTTAGGTGCAGCACACAAGCCTAAACTGAATGAATGAACGAGCATTGATCAGTGTGGGGAGCACAGATCACTGCCATAGACTTACTGTTGTAATCACAATCTGGTGTGTGTCAGTGGGGAGGATAAAACAACCATTCATAATCGTAATTGAGGTAAAAGTTAGAAATAATCATGGTATTGATTTGGAGTCATATCGCCCAGCCCTATAACGTATGATCGGTATTGCCAGAATATTATAGTAAATTGTGGAATAGGTGAAAATAACATGCTCTCCATTACAAGTAACCGGAAACATAACAGTGTTTGAACAGCAGGAAGCAGGAACCATTGGAGGAACTCTGCATTTCTTACTCCAGAGTGTAAAAATGTTTCAGGTAATGATGTGTGTAATAATCTATGTGAGCAAAAGACTGTACTACTGCGCCTGAAATGTTGTGAAAATCTATAAATTATTATATTCAAGAACATGTTTAAACCCAGAGTGAGTATGATGTACTTTCTGAAAAAGTACACAGCGCTGTGGGAGTGTGACAACAACGAGCTGAACTGAAATCAGGCTCGACAGTGAAATAAGGGCAGAGGATGTCTCACCTAGTTAAGCCCTTTGAGGCAAAAAGTGATTCGTGAATAAGGGCAATACAGATAAAGTTTTACTGATTGATTGACATGTTAAATGCAACTGGAGGAATTAGTGATTGGTATTAGTCTCACCTTGGGACTGTCCCCTCCGGAGGCATCTTTGTCGTTCTCAGGCTGGGAGTTGTCGTTTATAAGCTGCAGCTCTGCAGAGCTGACCATACGACCGCCCATCCTGTAGCCTGAAGAGCCTGCGCCCCGCGGGCTGGAGGGGCACGAGTTAGCAGCACTGCAGAGAGACAACATGACTGTGAGCTGCCAGGACACTGACTGTAGATCTAATTTAAACTCAGATGAGTAATTAGCAACCAACAACAGGTTTGGATAATCTGCGTAACCTCCTGCCCTTTTCACATGCCCCGATCAAAAATGACATGCCCAAAATGAAAAGAGGAAATCTCTGCAACATCATGGGCTATATGAATAATCTCGGTATCTATATGCAAATGTAACACTTGCTAGATTTAATTCTAAATGAAGTACAGCACAGTTGGAGATTTAGTAGAGATATGTGTGTCATCTCCACATGAAAGCTTTGGAACAATCTGTACCATTTGACTTTTCTCACTATAAAACCCATTTATTTTCACTTATATGTCACTTAAGGCATCTATTCCATCTAAATACAATTGTTTATCCAATAAACCACAATAAAAGCTCTCTGATAAAACACTCTACATGACGCTGCTAAACTATAACGAGCCTGGCTGTTCCCCACGAGGAGCATGGTTTACGTTTCCTGGCTCGGCTCATCCGCAGTCTGTGCTGCAGTGATTCGCTTTTGGCCGACATCTATGCAAATCACCTCCCAGATAGACTGAAAGTACTGCAGTCACTTCAGAAGCGACAATCAGGTCCAAAGCAACTACGCATTCAAACTTTAATCAAGTGTGATTATCCCGTTAAAAGGTTTATTAACCAGGGGATATTTAAATATGCCAAATTGTGCTTTACGTGAAATGTGTGTGTTGGTCCTCAGGGGACTTGGGAGGTGTTGTCAAACCAAACAAACAGTGAGGGGCAGCAGCTCAGGGTTCTCACATGTACGACAGCTGCTGTCCCTTTTCTTTACCTCAATTGTTTGTTAGTAAACAGGAAACACATTTTATCATTAAACAAACAAGGGAGACGTGTATGAAAGAAGAAACCTGGTTGGTTTGTATCGGGCTGAGAGGATCGAGGACTCTGATAGCAGTGTGTCCTTCTCTGAGCCCTGCAGTCAGTGACCTAAGCCTAAGCTGATCAACACATAGGGCCAGGCCCATGGCAAGGTCAGCTGACAACTCAAGGTCACCCAGTGGAGGTGTGGGAGGGACTTCTCTCAGCACCATACACTGAACTGGGATTGGAAAACTGGAGGCTTATGGCACTGACAGAAGGAAGAGCTAAACTTAGACCAGGCTAAACTAAAGCATTATTAGGAGGTGAGACGATAGGTTTAAAAGTTTATGTTCCCTGTGAAAGGTAAAAGTAACAGCTCTTTTGAATTTAATTGCAAAGTAAGACGAACTGTCTTTGAATATAAACTTAATCTACCTCCAATGTGATCAAATGTATGGATTGATCATAGTAAATAATAGGGAAATGTAATGAATAATGCGGTGGTTGATCAAAGACTAAATCAAGATGGACGCTGTGTTTCAATGTCCTCAAAAATGAGGCCAAATGGTCCTGTATGCAGACGCTGCCATCTGTCACTCTTGACATCATTTGGAGTCTGAGTATGGGAATTAGTGATTGAAGTGTGAAAGCAAAGTGAGGCAGTCCTGACAACATGCTCAAACGACAGTAGACTAAATAAAGAGTGTTGACGCGCCTCCACTTCCTCACACTATCCCAAAATAAAGTCAAATTATCCTGGATATTTAGAGCCAGAGACAGTAAAGATTGTGATGTGGAGCTGTGGGATCATGTTCCCACCAATTCCCACATTGAACCAATCAGGAAGTAAGACTCAGCTGTCCATCGTGGTGTTTCACCCATTTTTTAGGTCAACGAAAGACTAATTAAAACCAAACTTATCAGTGAGATGAACACTGGACATCAGAGTGATAACAATCTACCATCTTCTGGAAAAAAACATTCAATGTGAATTTTAGTGTGGTTCCTTTAACATCTGCTAACATGGAGGAGCCGATGTTTATGACCTATTCAGCAGCCAGCCACCAGATGGCCTTCGAGATTATGTGGCTTCACTTTAGGAGAAACGGCATGTCGACCATCTTTAAATACAGTCTTTGCTAAATGGTCAGCCCTCGTCTAAAAGATGGTTTTCCCTTCACAATGTGAAATAATCGCAGCGGCAGGTGAGCAGCACCAACTGTAGGTCAGTGAATGCATCATATCCAGCAGCAAGTACCTAATGGTGCCAGTCGGCGACGGCAGGGGGCTCTTTATGTGAGTGATGTTGTCTGGAATGTTGATAGTCAGGGGGGAGATCTGCGGCTGCACTGGTTTCACTGGGGACTCTGGAGCCTCACGCTTCACCTTCTTCCCACTGGACAGAGCTGTGAACATGATCTTGATGTTTGTGCTGGGAAATCTGAAAGTGCACCTGCAAAAAAAATAAAAACAAGACAGGATTTAAAAAAAAACGTAAGAACCCAGTGAGCTGTGGCACGCAGAGACTATTTTAAAAATACAATTGCAGATGAACGTGAAAAGCATTTCATATTAAGGCAAATTTAATCTGTGAGAACTTGATAACATTAAGCTCGGCTGGGGAAGAACTGTTTGCCTATTCTCTGCCTGAGACAATGTGTGAGTTAATTAAATTTGGATACTGATGCAATGACTTGATGAAGCATTAATACACTGCAGAGAATTAGAGTTTAGACTGGAACCACTGCTGATATGCACTTGTTTTCAAAGGGAGTGGCTGCCTCAGGAGGACAGGCCTGAATTAGACAGTTGTTGCTGTTGCGAGTTAAATATAAGGCACAATGTCAATAGGAAAATATACCTCAGGGGAAATGTGTGATTCTTCTCTGGAGCTATTAGTGCTGATTGATATATCGGTTCATATAAGTCAACAGAGAATTAACAATTACAGCCAAGTTGGTTATATGAGTAAAACTTCTGAATATTGACCACTTCCAGTCTCTTGTGTTTTCTTTTCTGTTTCATGTCAGCGTAAAGTAATAATAGGATCTAGAAAAAAGTAATTTTTGAAAATATATAGACTAAGTGACAATTTATCAGCTAATATGAGACTTTTTTGCTGGCTGTGTATAGGTTTGTGGATATAAAGTACTTTTCTACTGTCTTATTTAAGTAGAACCTCAACCGACAAAATTCCTTACTTATGGCTCAAATATAGACATGATACTAAAACTAACTGTAGGTGGTTAAATAAAAAAATACAAAATCAATAGTTGAAGCCATTTTGTTACTTCATCACCCACTAGTGATATTCAAACCTGTGACACTTATTTCACTGTTTTATCCATTTCCTATTGAGCCTTTCCTGCATGATTTGAACACAGCAGAAAAAAAAAGGACATGCTCCATTTTCATAATAATGCAGAAGGCCTTGATGCTGCATTGAACTATGGTCTGTTAAGTCAGTGCTTAAACAGAATTTAAAAACACAAAACAAAGAAAACCAGTGAGCCAGGTTGCACTGACAAACGTGACACCAAACTATCTGAGCAATGAAGTGTTCACATTTTTTGGATTTGACACTTTAGATGACGTCAGTATCTTGGACCAGCAGGATCCCCATTCAATTTAATGCAACAGGTCTGCACCATTGACATTCACTGTTGGACAATAAAAAAATCACTGATGTTCCATTTTTTCTCCTTTCACTTTTTCATTTGGTGTCTAGAGGAATTTAAACTGAAAAAACAAAATAGACTCAGGAATGCAAGAATGCTGCCAACAGAGTCCGAGCACATTTTAAGGATGGATTTCTTTTAGTTTAAATATTTAAGGTTCGACAAAATAACTAAACATAGTTGGTTTGTGGTAGACTCTGAGCGATTAAGGGAATCTGTTCAAGGAAATCTTACATCAGGAACTTGTTTAAAATCAGCGTTGGGATCAGTGTGTCTGACACCCGGGGACAGAGCAGACACATTGCTTTTCATTTAGTTGCAGAGTGTAAGACCATGCAGTTTTGTTTTTTTGCCAGGTTCTCACAGAGCTGGCATCTGCTGAGAGAACTGTATCCCCAACACTTACATCTCAAATTAGCTTTGGCGCTCACAGGAGGAGACTGAAACACTTCCTGGAGCCAGACTGGTGAGGGGAGACACTTTCATTATGCATGTGCCCTCCGAGCACCCTTTCAGGAAGGGTAGAGACTTCTCTGTGGATCTTTTAAAGTTATACACGAGCTTTAAATAACATCAGAGCGTTCCTCAATATCTAGAGACTGTGTAGTAGTGACAGAGTGGGGACACTGATATCTTAATATAGCAAAAAATAATAAAATATCAAAAGCAACACTGCTCCTTTGTGTTTATTCCTGTGCTTCATTCTGCTTCCAAGAATGTAACATCGACCCAAACTCTAAAAGCCTGTTAAACATTTGTAAAAAAAACTCTAACATGGGAACATTAAGCTTCAGAAATATCATAATGTGAGAGTATATTACATGGGCAGCATGTTTTAATGTTGGCTGAGCATTGTTTTAGGTTAGAGAGTGTGTGGCTTATTATTTTATATTATAAATTTATACTATACTGGTAATCAATTCATTGTTAAAGACATTTTCAAGCAAAAAATTGCAAAACTGTTTCCACTTATCAAAATCTGCTGCATTTTTTCTGATCGTACAGTGAGGCTTTCTCTTCAAATGCTCGCTATAGACGTCACTAATAGTTGCAATTCATATTCCAATACAACGACACATAGATTATCTAATGTGTTGTTTACTTGTTTCTGTATGAAAAGTGGCTTATCATATTAAAATCTTAAGTATCTAAGGCTCATGAGAGCTTCAGATGAGAACAACAGTTAACATCTTGGTTGACGGAACATGTAAACTTATTACTAGATTTTGAGAAAATGATCAATTTGAAATTCAAATTGTTGTCTTGTTTTGAAATGACTCAAACGGTTGGCGGTGTCTGACAGTTAAACAATTTATACTTACTTAATTGATACTTATACTTACTTGATTAAATCAGGAAAACAATGAGCAGATTGTTAATTGCAGAATTTAAATTAGTCACACTGCTTGATAGATCTGTGTAACAGAGCTTTGAATAAAAATATAGCTTCCTGATGTACATTAGATAACATGTCATGAAAATAAGTATTTGAGCTCTACAACCTGTTAAATGCCCTGCTTCACCATCCACTGAGCGTATTAACACTATATGCAAAACTTAATTCATCATTGTAAGTTTTTAGTTGTCTGTGTGAAACTCAGGAAAGTTGTGTTTGTTCAACACCCCCCACTGTGCACGCATTCATACAAAGCCCTTCATTAACCCAATTTATTCTTCTCGTATGAATAATGAGGGCTAAATACCACAAACACGGTTGCTACACTGCTGTTATAACGGCAACAGTCCAGTCTGGTCTAGTCTGAAAACTTTCACTTGATCCTCTCCTCCCACACACATTGCAAAAAACAACAAAAAAGAATGTAAACACAAGAAGACAGCAAGACAGGAAGAGGACCAGCTCGGAGAGAATTTATGGGTGTGGGAACAGGGAAGAAAGAGAGGGAGGTGTTCTTCTTTGTTTACATCACCAAAGAAGAATCCCTGGAATACAACCGACCTGTCCCCTGGGCCACAGCTCTGCGAGTTCTCTCATGCCACCAATGTGCTTCTTTAGCTGCACCCATCTTCATCATCACAGTGAGGGTCATTTAAAGAAACTTCACCAGCTCAAGGGTTACAGTACAGCGTGTGAGCCCATGCTAGGAGGAAGTGTCGTACTCATAGCAGCGCTTGAAATAATGCTGATTAAAAGCTCTTTATAGGCAGTCGGCCAGATCAATAAGAGGACCTGAAACCAGTGCTGCTCCTTCCTTGTTCTGAGCGGTGCGTATATAATGAAATGCATTGATTGACGCACAATGTGTTATAACATGACTGAAGAGCAGCTCAGAGATTGATTCAACTATCAAACTAACAACTGCAGAATTTACATATTTTTTGCAAAAAGCCAATTGAGAAATCCATCAAGTAAAAACCAGCCTTTTTGTTTTGCAGTAAAAAAAGTGGTTTCACATTTAGGGATTGCACAATAGCAGAGAGCAGGAGGGGGGAATGTGGCTGGTGTTGGCTGAGACTGTCCACATTACAGGCCACTTTAGAGAATCACCTCAACCACTTTCTTTGTGCCAAAAACCCAAATAAAGGTCTCTGGTCAAAATGAAAACAAGCTGTTTTCTCTCTCTTTCACCTGTTTTTGTTTGTAGGTTAGACTCTGACACTGTTGGAATTACGTGACAATTAGAAATTGACAGCGTAACGTTCACTTGTTTATGTGTTACATTACACTTTCCCTGTTTTGGTTTAGTTCATTAGACACTTCAAGATGAAAATCCTAAAATCTACTAAATTGTCAAATGAGATGCATTTCTGGTGTCTGGTGTACAGGTGAAACTAGAAGTAGTATTGATTGACTACTCTAATAGTCAGAAGAGCCTATGGGGATGCCATCAAATAGCACGTTTTGTGGGGAATAAATAAAAAGATGCAAGCAGAGAACGGATTACAATCATATGGGTGCAACTAACTTATTTCAATTGAATTATTTTGATTGTCCTAATCATTTTATCTATAAAATCGCCCCAAATAATCCTGATAAAGGTCCCTCATAGTTTCCAAGACCCTGTGATGACGACATTATAATTCCAGTAATACTTAATTCGTGGAAGACTCCACTCTTTATATTTACTTCATTTATTTTCATCCGTAACTTTATCTCAAGCCGCCACTCAAACATGGCCTACTTCAAAGCAGCACATACTGCAATACAAGTACCACGTGTGACAACTCTGCATAGTACAGTGCAGTATAATTAGGTACAGTATAGTGTGGCAGTATCAGGGTAGATTCCTTTTTGTTTAGAAAGCAGCACACTGTCTGGTGCAGGTTAAGACCTGCACAACATGGCTCAGAAACTCCTTCACAGATGAGTCTAAAATTAATTCTGAAATGAACCTGCGGGCTCATGTTGTTGTTCGATGTTAACTGTATAGAGGTGATTGATTCAATGAGCTGGCTAGCATGACTTCGGCTGTTTTCAAGACGAGGCCAAAGGTCCCGCAGGCTCTGCTGTTGTGAGCCGGCAGGGCGGGGACGGGCCGGGTTTGTTTACGTTTAGGGGTCGTGGGGAGCTCCATTCACAACTCCTTAGATGCTACAGCTAACGGCTAGCTCTCATGTTTGCACTGCCTCAAGGGTGAATGTTTACAGCACCGCGACAAAAAAAAAAACATGTCTGACTCCACAGTGTCCATGTGGCTGAAGAATAAAAACACACAGTCTCCCCCGTGGTTGTGAGCTAGCTATTCTTGCTAACTGGCCCCGATACAGACACCGTGGAATGCGGCTAACCCTGAGTAGACCACAGGAGGGGGGGATGTGGAATGAAGGCAGGCGGCTAATTAACACTGTTGCTAACAGGAATGTCAACAAAGAAAATGGCTTTGCGAACAGGATGCGGGGTTCTTGCTAACATGCTAAAACACGTGGTCCTCTCGACCCTGCTAGCCAGCGCAAAGTCAATGTTGTTGACTGTTCACTTTAGCTGCCTGGCTACTAGCGCCGCATCCACATGTTCACCGAGGATGGAGGGGGGACTTACATTCGTGGAAGCTGCAGAGGAGGGGCGCCCCGTCTGAGGAACACTCCGTCTACAAACACCCCGTTTTTACCGAGACACCTCAGGTAAAAATCCCCGCCGCCGGTGCCGTCGTCGCTGGCGGTGAATATCTCCAGGTGCCGGCGGGAGATGAAGCTGGAGTGGCCCATGCTCACGTCCACGGAGCCCTGAGACGAGTTGCGGCCGATGGTCACCGAGCGCTTTTTCATCATGTATTCGAATTCACGGCCCTCGAGCCGGGCAACCGGCCCAGACGATCCGCTCACAACGGCCATGTTCGGCTTCAAATCCCTAAAAAACAAATGGTGGGGTAAATAAGACACCGGGGGACTGCGGCCCTTCAGAGGCGTGTAGATGGAGCGAAGCTACAGGAGGGGCATCGAATTGAAACCGGGAGTTTGGAGGGGAACATGCGAGGCCAGGGACCGCGGCTCCGACCCACCGCCGAGAGAAAGAGTAGCGGAGCGATCCAACCGAAGGGAGCAGCGGGCGGAGATCTCCCGACTGACAGCGCTCTCCGCCAATGAGAGCGAAGGAAGCGTCTGCGGCTCAGACGCCGCGACCAATCAGATGTCCGAATCCGCGTGAGGACAGATTCAAGGTCGGTTGGGGCGCAGCAATACGCGCATACGCTGCCGGGCGAGGCGGAAGAAGTGGCGCGGGAGTTGCACCGGGAAGCGGATCAAGTGACTTACACGTGCAATCGATCACAATAATCCCCGCTGTCAGATATGATCGATAATCCGCGGCCGAGCGTCGGCATCACCGACTGATCGCGAATCCAAAACGAGAGTCGACCGCGTGCATTGAAGCAGCTCGCGGGATTTCCGCTCCCGTCAGTCTCGGCGTCGCAGGAGCTCAGAGCCACGGTGCTCCGCCTGATCCACTACAGAATCCACGCCGGGCTGTCCACGCGGCCCCCTCTGCAGCACCTCGTTGGTTTGTAATGGTTCAAGTTATCATCATCACTGATCTTTAATCAACACAAACAAACCACGTTGCCCTGACACACACACCTAAACACTCCATGTTACTCAGGGGAGGCTGCAGGTTCGTGCTCCCGTGCCGTGCCGTGCCGTGCTTTGGCCTTGTTGTTATCGTCAGACTGAGCGACCCCGCCATCTGTAGGCCACTTGTTTGTAAACACTGTCTGAGGGCAGTGCGCGTGCGTAACAACTAACGGAAGATAAGGCTTCAGACCAAGACGATGAGTATTAAACAGGTTATAACTGGATGTGGAATCATTGTTTTTAAACTTATAAGACGATAAGTTAAGGTTTAAGTTTGATATAAAAGTCCATCAAGATACATTCAAGATACCCAAATAATATGTAGAGGAGGAAACGTGGTCTTATGTGTGTCAGTGTCTCTACTTTGTGGAAATAATAATGAGATAATGTCAATTCAAGAAGAAAATAACAGTTCTTGTAGCTCTGAGGTTGTGAAATCTCTATAGATCTTAAATCACCTGCTATGATTATTATTATAATGGTGCTTATATTGCATTATGTAGTACTGATCAATAAATTGAGACAAATACGTGGCAGAATAATCCTAATTTCTTTCAACAATTATTGGCTGCTGGCCTAAAGATTTATTGCAGAAGTAATGATGCATGCTCCATTTGGGGGAAATGATCATAATATGCAAAACAGTTAGTGACAGGCTTTGCCACTTATCTGGACAGTCATTCATGTTGTTTGTGACGCTGTGTTGATGATGATGCTGCGACTATAGCACTGACAATATTCAAATGATTGACTCCATTCTAATTTCTCATTCTTTTCCTGATTGTTGATGTTTATTTGTTATATACATCTAATGCCAACATCTGATTATAGTTAGTCTTCTCGTCATGTGGGCATAAAAAAAACAATTTCTGTACTGCATTAATAATCTATAACAACAGAAAAAAGCATCTGTTATCGTAGCTTCCTTGCATTGGTAGTTAGATGTAGTCTGGTTGATGTGTTTAAATGAAGATTTGATGGATTTGCACTGAATAAACAAGAATATGACTTTTAATGGAGGTGCGTTGAGGCCTTGAAGAGAGGTCTGCTGAGATATTGTAAAAAAAAATACGGTCCTCTGCAGTTACATTTTTACGGGGATGAATAAACTGTTGTTATGGTCTTATTTTTTCCACTAGCTGTTGAACTGAAGAGTTGAATGACTTTTTAAATCCACCTGCATCAACCTCCAGCTTCATCTCAACCACTGGAGGGAGACATGCACCGTCACAAACCTCCATAGATGACATCATGAACTCGCCAGCCATTTCAAGCTTTTAGCCTGAACAGACAGCAGCATCACTCCATCGCCTGCCAAAACACACACTTACACACCCACAGCCAAAGTACACCGGCATTTATAGACTTATTAATAACACGAGTTGCTATGATAGGCCCAATGTTTAATAATACATTCATACACATTTGATTGTTTTAAGTAAGTGCTTTGGTAGTATTTTTTATTCTACAGATCTCAGCTGATAGTACATTTAATAAAGCCTGGATCTGAAACATTAAAAGCCTTTATACTGAAAATATTTTAAAGGTTTGTCTCCATAGCGTATCATACTTTCTGTGTGTTTGTCTTGTGGCAACCTCTTGTTTTTCCACTGATGACAGTCGAGTCCATTTGTTCCAGGAAGAGCAGCGACCGCTGTGGCACAGTTAATGGCAATCAACTATTAGTCGAAGCTCTTCCAAACCACATGACTGGGATTTACAATCCTAGTACGCTGCACTATAGCCCACAGAAGAGGGTGCTTTCCGAAGCTTTAAGTTTTATTTGATTAGAGCAAGTCAGGATGGATCTGCCAAAATAAATCATCAGATAAGCTGTGATTAAAGATCATAATGACATATACCATCAAGACAACTTGTGGATTTCAGTATAACAGGGATGGAGGGCGGTGTCCCATGGGAGTGGAGGAGGCTCAGAGCAGCAGGGTTTCCATCTCTTTGCAGGGAGGTGAGCCGCATTACGCCTCTCCTCGATTTCCTCCCTGTCCTCTGGGGCAGGAACCAAATGGACACATTAACGACACTCTCCATGTCTGAGGGGGCTAATGCTGCCTTAAGTGCTGATTACAGTTGGAAGAATCAGACATGTGGGAGTATGAGTTTCACTCTCTTCACTGGTTGTTGTGGTGAACAAACTAAAGCCCAAATCCAGAGCCTTTTCTAAGGGAAAACTACTAATTGGCCAAACCCTTCTGCACATACAGGGCTCGGAGATTCACTTGTCTTTCTACTGAGCTCAGTACTTTAGTGTATGTGTTTATTCTCTGGCAGTCTCAGTGCTGCATGGAGCTTACTTACTATAACTCAGAGCAAAAACCCACGGTGCCTGTTTGGCTACTTTTTTTAATGAGGACCAGCCCTACAAAGAACACAACAACAGTCGTTTGAAACCATGTTTAGTCGCTCATTTCCCAAGTTTATACTTCCGTGAACAAGCAGAGACACGTTCATAAATACAAATTTCAGAATGTACAAAGATGACAACAGACACATAAATAAGGCAAACGGTGTCATCATGGTGCAATCTTTAAAAGCTTCCTCCTCCAGCCAAAAGTGCTGAGAAATACATTTTCCACTCCAACACTGCTGTCCACACTCAACACGACGAGTTGTTTTTACCCTGAAGTCAAAGGGTGGAATCACCTTTTTTATCTGCTAGGATTATTCAAATGTGTTCCAGGTTGTGTTGAAATGGAATTCATCACATATCCTCCAATGAGGCAAAACCTCTAGGGGTTCACAAAGCCAGAGAAGAACACCCTCGTGCTTGAGTCTTGCCTGCCAGCTCCCTCCTCATCCTTGTCTGAAGGAGTCCAGTCTCTTCCACTCATGGCTCCTGTCACGCCGTGGTTACAGTATGTCGTGTTTGATCAGGTTGAGGTCCTCCTCGGACACAGTGAGCTGCCCCATGTACCAGAATATCCAGGGGATCAGGCTGAGGAAGATCAGCAGGGGCCCGGACAGCACGAAAAAGTCCCAGAAACTCAATGGCGCAAAGATCCCCACGAAGAAGAGGAGGAGGCCGATGATGTCCAGAATCAAAGCCAGCGACAAGAAGAAGTTGGCGCACTTCTTCTGCTCCATCGCTGCAGCTGAGCGAGAAAAAAGGACGAGTGGATGTCTTCTGAAGGTCTGACAGGAGTGAGTCTCTGAGGAGAAGTGATTTGCTGTACCGTGGATCATAGTCTTTCACCAGCAGCACACCTTTGCATTTCTATCATAGTTTAGTGGCAAGACAGGTCTCCAGGCACAACAAAGGGTTGTGCTGCTCACTAATAGCAGCTAAGAAACTCACAGTCCATCTTCATTCCTACGCAGGCCTGACCTGTTTTACACCTTTCATGTCATAAATGTGACACATCAGGCCGCTGTCTGAAACCTGCGGGGCATTTTTATGCACATATATTTCATAATCCGCTGCCATTGAGGTCGTATTTAAACAGTGATAAGCTTGATATAATGAATCCCCCCCATCTAATGAAACTTAAGTGATACCGACACTGCATCAGTGTGTTACATCCTTCATTAGATGATTCAAAGCCTCCTCTTGACATCACTCCCACCAATTTATCCAAGTGTATGTTTGCCCTTGATATTTAACTTCCCAGGGTGGAAACACTGCACTGAAGCCTTCAATAAACATTACCAATCCCTGGCCCATGCATCGCTATAATAACGCTGCCTATTCTGGAGTGACTGACTGACTGACAAAAAGAGGAAATGCACGTAATGGAAACTTCCCTTGTTTGACCAGTCGTGCTGCTGCAATTTGTGTCTCCTATGCCTCGCTATGCCTGTGGTTACAGCAGGTGTACACAGCACGGCTGAATTACTGTGAAGCTCTCCTGACTTTGATGTGAGTGAGAGGCCATTTCACGGCGCATCATAAACCAAACCGTGGTGGAGCTGATGTTTTACATAAGGTGTGCCATTGAATCTTATCATCAGCACATACGAAAATATGCCTAAACTTAACACGTTTGTTCCCAGGTCACATGAGATCCTCTGCTGAGGATTTCCAGGTTTGTTTACCCTACACCGAGACAAACCAGTCTGACCAGTACGTGTGTGTTTGCATGACTCAACTTCACTCTTTCTGGTTGCAGCTACAACTTGTGTAAAGTATGTTACATTCATTTTTCGGATGTGACAAAACCCAAACCAAAATAATAAATCAGTTTAAATTAAAATAATGTAGGACTCTGCAGACAGGGATATATGTCTGGAAGGGTTCCGACCAGCAGCAAACTGACAAGTATTGTGGAATATGAAGATGGTAGGAGCTTGGGGGGAGTTTATGCTATGATGAAAAACAAAAGGTTTTAGACAGTCTCTCTCTCTCTCTCTATATATATATATCATTGGCTGTGCTAACCTAATGACACCCATACCCCCCGCTGGTTGAAAATGAGCTCTGGGCCCATCCTCTGTGCATTAGTCACCATTTAGATGTCAGTTTACTGACATA